CACTGGGGGAGTTTTTAACTTAAAAGTTGTTCACACGGAGCCTCCAGCAATTGGTCAAGTACAATTCAGTTTTTCTCCCTAGATACCAGTAATTTGGAGGTGTCTGCTCATGGGTTCTGTTCCTGTCGTTTGCAATTTTCTGTATCTACTTGTCACTTTCTCCAGTTTTGGTGGCAGCAGTTTGCCCTGTGACTGTAATGCCCTGAGGAATTAAGGATAGTTTATTTTTCAATTTGTTTAGCCTTTTACTTGTTAGGAGGGAGTGGAGGCTCATAGCATTCTTTCTTTAGTAAAAATGTTTTAATATAATTTCAATAAATGCATGTGATCATACCATACCTTAACTTATATTTTAGTCTTTCTTTTTGTGTCTATCTTTGCCTGATACTCCTTCCTCCTTCTTACTTCCCCCACATGTAGCAGGACCCTCTCTCACCAATCAAGGTAACATGTTAATAACCCAGTACACATTCTCCATGTTTTTCTCTAGGCCTCCATAGACCTACATATCTATGTATGCAAGTGCTTATTCAAAATTATTTGATTTTGGTTTAATAGAAACAAGATCATATTAGACATGTTTTTCAGCATATTACTTTCCTTACAAACTAAACTGCTTGGAAATTACTGCAATTCAACTGGAATAGCTTTAATTTATTCTTTTTAATGTCGACATAATAGTCAATAGAGAGGATGTGCCTTTAGTTAATTCAGCTGTATAACTCTATTGCATTCTCAAAACAGGATTCTCAAAAGAATTCTCAATAGCATTCTCAAAAGACTCTTGATGTTTATGATGCAAGGCTTAAGGAACCATCAGCTCAGAATGCACTGCACTTAGATTCGGAAAATAGCAGTTTAGTCTTCACCTGTTACACTTTTACAATTGTGAATGAAGATGTTATGTAACTTTCAAAGACCTGTATATCTCTGTAGGGGAAAGGAATCAAGAAAAAAAAAACACCTATGAAAATCCATAACTATCTGCTTTGTATAATGGGCAGATAATGAAAATAATCTTTTTTCTTATGCAGGAGATACTCTTCAATAAAGTAGGAAACAACACTGCTACCGCTGATGCTACCACCTACCACCGAGGTCAGTGATAAGATGGCCCAATTCTAAGCCAGCCCCGGGTCACCGCACGGTAGTGGATGTGTTCCATAGAATCCTTTCCCCTACAAGGGGTGAGGCTGTGCCTATGATGGGTTTCACTCCTGTCATTGTTTATGTGATGAAAGTGAAGGCCCCAAATCAGTTGATTTTGAGTTCATCAAAAGCGAAATGATCCCAGGTTGCAGCCCTTACAAAGGGTCAGAGATTTCAAGAGGGAAAGAGATATTTTCTTCTGCTGGTTTTGAAGAAGCAAACAACCATGATGTGAGAGAGAGCACAGGGATAGGACCAGAGAAAGGATGGCCTCTAGGCATTGGAAGAAAACCCTCACCAAGAGCCAGTGAGAAAACAAGCCCTCCATCCTGTAGCTGTAAGGAACTAAATCCTGCCACCAACCAATGAAGAGCTCAGAAAAGTACCTCCAGCCACAGATGAGATCAGGGTCCAGGCTGACATTGTGATTTCAGCCTTGTGAGACCCTGGACAAATAACTCAGTTACACTGTGTCCAGATGACTGGCTTACAGAACTTTGAGATAATAAATGGATATTGTTTTAAAACACCAACTTTATGGCAATTGGTTATGGGAAAATCTAAAACTAATAAAGTGACCTTAGACAAGACACAAAGTCTAGTCTTCACCATTATAAAGTAAGATAGTGGGCCCAAAGAACTAGCTTTCTAGTTCCAGAACACCGTATTTTCATGATTCTACTGTAGATCAAAATCAAACCTCTTGTTTCCATGCTACTATCAGTCAACAGAAAGGTATTTGTTTGTATGCTTTTTAAACTCTTTATTTTATTTTTTAAAGATTTTTATATTGATTTTTAGTGAGGAAGGAAGGGAGAGGGAGAGAAAGAAACAATGATGTGAGAGCAACTGCCTCCTGCACGCCTCCTACTGGGGACTGAGCCTGCAACCTGGGCATGTGCCCTGACCAGGAATCAAACTGGAAACGCTTTGGGGCATGCATGGGATGATGTCCAACTAACTGAGCCATACTGGCCAGGGCAGAAACAGTATTTGCTTAAAGAGATAGTATTGGGGAATGATAGCATTCTTTTGGAACACTGTATTTATTCACAGTCTCCAACTTTAACATGTCATTAGAATGATCTGACATATTAGGTCTAGCACATTTTGTAAGTATTTTGCATATTAAATAAAATCTTCCAGGCAGGTTTACAAAGAAACATTCATTTTATGAGGTTGAATAAAATGGTAAATTATTAAGCAATGGTGAGGTAGAGAAGACTTTGAAAGTAGATGTCAGTTATTGTAATAATGTATTTCTCAACATTGACCTTCAGCAATAGTGGTTTTGAGATAAAACCCTGGAGACTGCCCTTCCCCCTAGACTTTGCTCCCCCTCTCCTACCACCACCAAATTTACACGTTGAAGTCCTAACCCTCAGCATGTGGCCTTATTTGGAAATAGAAATGTGGAAGACGTAATAAATTCAGATGAGACCATTAGGGTAAGCCCTAATTCAATATGAATCGGGTCTTCATACAAAGGGGAAATTTCAACACAGACACACACAAGGGAAGAACACCCTGTGAAGATGATCACAAAGATCAGGTTTATGCCTCTACAAGCGAAGAAAAGCCAGAGATTACAAGCAGACCCGCCAGAAGGGAGGCATGAAACATATTCTTCCTCAAAATCCTCCAAAGGAACAAACCCTGCTGACAATTCCATCTTGAATCTCTGTCCTCTAGAACTGTGAGACAATACCTTTCTGTTGCTTAAGCTGCCCAGCCTGTATACTTAGATATGGCAGCCCTAGCAAACTCATACATTATCCATACATAAATGTAATTTTAATGGTGATAATCAAATTATGATTTTGTATTTTATAATAATGTTGATAGATAAAATAATGTTGCATTTTACCTATCAATATTCCACTGAAAGTATGTTTTATTTTCTCCTTTATTAATAACTAGAGGCTCTATGCACAAAATTTATGCACAGTGGGGGTGGGGGGTCCCTCAGCCTGGCCTGCACCCTCTCGCAATCTGGGACTGCTGGTTCCTAACTGCTCTCCTGCCTGTCTGATCACCCCTAACCACTCTGCCTGCCTGATCACCCCTAACCACTCTGCCCGCCTGCCTGATTGCCCCTAACCACTCACCCTGCCTGCCTGATCTCCCCTAACCACTCACCCTGCCTGCCTGATCGCCCCTAACCACCTCTGCATTGGCCCTGCCATGGCTTCGTCAGGAATGACATTCAGAAGGTTGTCGGGAAGGTCATTTGGCTCTCCGGTCTAATTAGCATATTACACTTTTATTATTATAGATGTTGTAACAAACCTGCAATTTTGTTCATGTGGCATTTCTCTTTTTGTGGGTTATTTCCTTCAGATGCATTCTAAGAAATGGGAATCTTTTACCAGTCTTTTACTGTTGAGAACATTATTTTAAAAAGTGACTAAAAATATTTTATGCCTTGGAAATGTGGGCTAAATTGCTTTCCAAAGAGTTGTAGCAATTTACCTTCCACCACGTTCTCGCCAACATGTGACTGTATCTCTCAAGTACTCTCATACACGTTTTGAGGACACATTCAGATTTATTCTTGAGTCGGGAGAGGGGTAACAGAGTATGTTTATTTGGTCCTAACTTTTCCTCTCCCTGTTGGTTTCAGGCAGTCACCAGAGGAAACTAGCCAGGTGTCTTTAGGTTACACTTTCCTTGATGCATTTAATTAAAGAGAGTCCAGTAGAAGATAATTCAAATTGGGTGTAAATTGTTTTAATGCAGGAAATAGCTCATTGCATTCATTCTAACCTTCATGAATTTTATGTCTTTATCTATGGCGATCGTTGTAATGAGGGGAATGAAGACAGCTTATAGAGCAATATTCCTTTCTGGATTTTCTTAATGTAGCATATTTATGCGGGAATGTATCTTCCACCTGTCCAAGGAATTAGGCTGGGCGTTTGCTGGGTTTCCGCACATCCTGGATGAGACCTGTGACAGCTCCACTCTCATGCCTGTCCTTCCCTCTACAACTCCGCCCTGATGCCAACGGCCACACCTAATCTCCCCCCACCCCCCAAAAAAATCTATCAGGCTAAGAAACCAAACGTCTTTTTGAAGAACCTGAAGGGCCGCTGAGCAAAGCTAGCCCGCCGCTGTTCTTTCAGCATCTTATCCTCTCCAGTCTCCATCCACCTGCCCACTCCCACCCGCACCGCGCGCAGATTTCTGTCTTCCAAGCCTGCGGAGGTCTGAGTCAACCGCGCCTCCAGCCCCTCCTGGGTGTTCGGAAGAACCTTGCGCTGTGGGTCGTTGCGGGGCGCCTGGCAGAGTTTGGAGCAGATAGATACAAAGCATCCCTCTTGGGGGGGTGACGAGGGTGGGGGGGGCGTGCAGAAGGGACGAGCTGAGTCAACTCGGATTTGGGGCTGCCCATCCTGTTAGGGTGGCTGGGGAAAGATGTGTCCTCCAAGCGTTCAGACCAGAGCCTTTGACCCCGTGTCTGTCTGTCTCTATCCCCCCTCCGTCCTCTCCCCTTTTTCTCCTTTTCCAGACCAGAGAGGGGCGCCTTTCCTGCTCCCTTTCCCCTCACCCACCCATTAATACACGAGGAGAGGGGTGGGAACCCGTGGAGTAATAGTAGATCTGCCTGGTGCTGAATGAATGGAGGCGCAGGGCGGGACTGAGCGAGCGGCCCCCTGCCCTCGACTGCCCGGCCCCCGCCAGCCCCGCGCCCCCCTCCGGCCCCGGGCTGAGGCTGCTGCCCGCTCCGCGCCCCGACACCGAGGCCGCGGCGCGGCGGGGAAGGTGGGGGGAGGGTGGCTTCCTCCGCCCCACACCCAGTCTCCTGCCGGATATATAGTCTCACGTTCGACAGCCGAGAGGCAGGAGCGGTTTCCTTGAGGCGGGAGCACTTCCCGGAGCCCCGGGGAAGGATCGGAGCAGAGGAGCCCCACCCCGAGCCGGAGGAGCAGGTATTCCAGAGCCCGCGCCCGGGAAGGCAGAGCGCGCGCTGGGCAGGGCAGAGTGGGCGCGGGGCCGGGCGGGAGCACCAAGCGTTTCCAAGGCTGAGCGCGCTGGAGCTGCCCCGCCGCACCCCGCCCGCAGCCAGCGGCCAGGGCGTGTTGGACGCCCGCACAGTCGCCGAAGTGGGGGACGCAGGGGCGGGAACCGCGGATCGCGAGGGTTACAGTGGGGTGCTGCTCCCGGGCAGCCCGGGACCGAGGGAGAGGGGCGCCCGGCGGGGCTGCCCAGGCCTCCTTGGCCCGCGGCTGTTCCTAGAAAGAGCGCGCCGACTCCCGGGCCACGTGCGGCGCGGCGTCGCCCCGGCTGCCCTCCCTGCGCTTCCCACTTCCCGACCCGTGATCGCGGCCTCACCCCCCCCTAACCCCCCTCCTCCAGCCCCACCCGGTGCTGCGAGCGTCCACTCCAGACCCTCCCATTCGGCTCTGGCTGGACACGGTCTGGGGCGCCGGGGCGGAGTCTGTCCTGGTTGAAAGTTTGGACCTCTCGCTGTGGCCTGGGCGTCTTGCGGGGAGCAGGGAGTCAGGACTAGAAGACTCCAGCTGGAGTCCATGGCGTGCGGGGAGGCAAGTCAGATTCCCTCGGGCAGTTCCATTCCATTAAGAGAAATAATGAGCACCTGAGTCCTAGAAACCATAGGAAGGCGCCCGCCTGCCAGCCTCCTGCTCTTTCAGCTGTCGGGATGGGGAGAATTATGAGCACTTATTCTTCCATGAGTGAGTCTCCTGGTGTGAGCAACCGAGGTTCTCGCTGGAACCCACGAGCTTTGGGTTGTTGTGCCCCGTAGAGTGCCCCATTGTGCCACGCGCAAGAACAGTGACCAGGACACAAGTGGACGGTGCTTTTTCTGCGCGCCAGAGGCTGCATCTAGACAAGGTTGACACTGAGCAAATGGAAAATGGATTCAATTACCCATCTCTCCCTATCCCCATTTCTATGAGCTGGAGATTTGGCTGAAGAGCATTTTTAGTCTAAAAGTGCAAAGGAACTGAATACAATTTGAATGCCGCCCCTCACGGCAGGAGCAGGCTTTTCAGCAAAATCCACACGTAGGGATATCTGTGTGTAGCGCCTCTAAGAGATGACCACCACTCCTCTCCTCTTTCTGAGGGCGTCTCCTGCGCCTGCTTTATCTACAATCCTACCTTACTCCAGTCCCTAACATTGGGTTATAGTTACCTATAAAATAGATACAAGTAAGCGTGAGCTGGCAGGTCTTCCGGTGATACATTTCTCCTTGATTAATAGGAGGGAATGTGGTATCTAATTACAGAAGAAGACGGAGAACCTTCCTTGAAAGGGGTGAAAATAAATAAACTAGCTCGTGTTTAGGTGGTACTTCTCGGTTTATAAAGAATGGGCTCATCTTGAATACCTCACACTATTTGCTTTCCTATATTTTGAGGATGCATCCTCGAGCGTCAGCGTCTGTCTTCTGGCAGCAGCTGGGCAGCCTTAACAGTTTTTTGTTTTGTGTTCATCCCCATGCATTCATGAAAACTCACTCATTCACAGACAGTCTCCTGCAGGATCGTGCCCAGGGCCCACCAGCAGGCTGGTCCCGCCAATGTATTGTGACATGCTGGGCTCTGTGGGAACATTTGCTGCTCTCGAAGATGCACTCTTAACACTTTATTGTGTTAACAGACCACTTTGAAAATCTGACAATAGCTATGGAATATAAGAAACAACCATATTATACACATTGACACAGAATTCTGCCTAAAATGTCAGGAGTTCAGGAGTTCACAGTCTCCTTGATACCCAGCCACCCAAATGTTAGCCATCCAGAGACCCCAGGCAGGCCCTGCTTCATGGAAACACGGCCCTGTACTTGGAAGGGCCCCCATGCTCGGTTTAATGTCCTGCTGTTACCTTCAGCTGTCTTCAGAACTTTCAAACAAGGAGCTCCAAATTTTCATTGTACACTAGACCAGTGGTCGGCAAACTGCAGCCCCTTGAGTGTGGCTCTTCCACAAAATACCACGTGCGGGTACGCACGTACAGTGCAATTGAAACTTCGTGGCCACACTCAAGGGACCAAAGAGCCGCATGTGGCTCGAGAGCCGCAGTTTGCCAACCACTGCACTAGACCAAGCATGTCAAACTTGCGGCCTGCATGCGGCCCACAACGAATATTTTTGCAGCCCAGCCGATATAATGGTATGTAAAGAAACATTAATTTTATCGTTGCTTTTATTCTATTTTATACTATATTTTTCAAAATAAACCTACGTTTCTATTAAAATTGAAGCTTATGTGTTGTGTGTTTTTTTTGCGGCCCACATAAACTTAAACCTTGTTTATTTGGCCTGTGTTAGCCTTTGAGTTTGACATGCTTGCACTAGACCCTGCAAATTCTTTAGCCAGTCCTGACCCCAGGTTAACAGCCCTATTCTGAGCAACAGCATTATCTCATAGCAATTCTTCAGGGGAATTCTCCAACACGAGTTATCAGCTGCATACTTATGTCAGTGAGCCCTCTGTGGCGAGTTTCCTCTCTGACAAAATAAGGACAGCAGACAATAGCTTCCACTCTGTTCACCTTAAAGGGTTGTTGTGAAGACATACTAGGTCAAAGGAGGAAGTAATTGTGAAAATGTCTACTTTCCTGGAATAGTTCTGTGCTAACAAAGACAGTATTACAGGCTTTACTTTACTCCATTTTCAGAAGTAAGTTGAGGAAGCTTGGCTTAGTACAATAAAAGGGTTGCAGATCCTTTATAGCCCTTATATTTTGGTGGCGGGGGCGGGGGGAGTTGCTAAGGTGTTCAGTTTTTTTAAATATTCCTTAAATATCACTATTTGGACAAGATTAGAAATGGCAACTCGAAGTACAGAATGACTTCTTGGATCTCAAAGACACTTTCTGAATTAAGTTGATGTTTGGGTCTAATTCACCCAAAAATTGAACAAAGAGAAACTGAGTCAATGATTGAATTTTTTTGAGGATGTAATCCTCTTTGTTTCATTTAAGTTTTAAAAATCCATATTTTCAAAATCTTGAACAAGTCACTTTTTAATATGTTCTAGGAGACACCTAGCAATATAAAACACACCTATTCCCTTATCGCGTGATCTTCCCCTCCTGTAACACTGGGGAGGAAATGAGACACTGGCAAGTCCTCTGTCTGCACACTCCCCTTGATTACTTCTCCTGACCTCAGAGCTTATCTTTATACCAGCCTTTATTCCCGGCATAATGGCAACGCACTCAGAAGGGCAGAGGAGGAAAAGAGAGTGAAAGGAAATGGGCCAAACTCCCACATCAAAGTCTTATAATGGGGGCACCAGAGGGGGTGGATGGAGACTCCTCTAATGCAACTGCCCTGTTCAGGGGCACACTGTATGCTTTAGGATACGAAGTACCAACTCCTATACTTGATAGACTTAGGACATCATTGGCAAGACAAAATGTGTAAATAAGAGGTGCCAATAATAGCAGATAAGTTGTTACAAGGCATTATAAGATTTGGCACAAAATGAATGGTACAGAAAATGAGTGCAGTGAGTTCCCAAGAAGAGAATGAAACAAACTGAGAAGGACAGTGAAACTTAAGCAGAGAGTTATATGAGATGTCCGTATAAGTTCTGCTCCTCATAGAGATGAATGAGTGAGTCTTCTAGGTGATAGATAGGTATGCAAAACATGAAAATCTGAATGGGACTAAACTTCACGTTAAGAAAAAGCAGGAACTTAAAACCGCGAGAGAACTTTCCACTGGCTAAATTCATTCATATGATACATAATTATTAAGCCCATTCTGTGACTAGACATATGCCAATTTTACAGGATATAGTGTTAAATAAAGTAGATATGTTCCTCATTCTTTTGGAACTTAAGCGACATTTAAAAAATAAACATAAAATAACAAATTTTTTAAAGTAGTGTGGAGAACAGAGAAAGACACAGGGGCTGACTCAGATTAGATGCTCTTTAAATTGATATTTGAAAGAAGCCTATGGGTTAACTTGGCCAAAAAGAACTTGGGGATAATCCATCTGGGCAGAGGAAAGAGCAAATGGGAAGGCTTTAAGGAGAAGAAGAGGCCACAAGTGTTTAAGGGACAGCAGGCACCTGTGGCTGGAGTTTGGTGAAGGTTTTGCTGAGAGGCTGGCTATGGGTAGGGGAGGTAGGTAGGAGCCTGGACATGCAAACCTTCACAGATCTTGACAAGGATTTTGAATTGTATTTTAGTGGGGAGCCTTTGAAGACTTTGAAGCCAGAGATCATCTAACTTATATTTTAACATCTTTATGAGTACAATAAGAGAATGGACAGAGTGCTGGTGACAGTGCTGCCAGGACAGATGGAGAGGAGAGGACAGAGAGATGCATTTGGAAAGTAAAATTGATAGAACTTGGTGACAGAGAGGAGGTCAGAGGTGAGCGAGGCAGGAAGACGTGTGAGAACAAATTTCTTCAATAGATACTGCTGAATGTGTATAATTTAAAACAATAGGTTTGCATGTGTATGATTTAGAGTTGCATATAAAAAACTGAAAAATGAAATGAAACCTGCTAACCCTACTTAGTACCTCTAGGAAGTAGGCCAGGCTGTTGGGTAGAGGAGAACGTGAGAGAGAGAGGAGGGAGGAGGCTTTTGTTTTTCATACTATCACTTGCACTGTTGGGCTTATTTTTAAACCATGCATGCATTTTATAATCCTATATAATAAAGAGCTAATATGCTAATTAGACCGAACAGCAGAACAACCGTCTGGACATCCTTCCAGACGACTGTCTGGACAACCTTCCGGATGCAACCGGGGCTGTGAGGGCTGGCTGAGGCTGTGAGGAGCTGTGAGGGCTGAGCCCCTTACACGAATTTCATGCATCGGGCCTCTAGTTGTTTAAAAGTTACCACCACAACAAATATGGCTCCTGTTTTTCTGGCTTGAGCATATGGATAGAATACAGGGTAATTTCCTAAAATGACAACAACTAGGAG